ATATATATATAAAAAGAAGAAAGAAAGAAAGTGTACTTTATTGGTCCCCGTGGGGAAAATCGCTCTCTGCATTTCCATATATATGTAATATATGTAATTCCAAGTTCCAGAACGTTTTTACCATTTTCACCTTCAGTAAAACACATTTAAATCATTATTACTGTTTTGTGTTTTATTTTATTTTCTCAAATAAATGACGTTCACTCTCCCTATTCTCTGAAAAATCAATCAAGAACTAATAATCCACGAGACTGTTTTAAATTCAGCTGCAGTTCAATTTTTGTTGTGGACATTAAGAAGGAATTCTTGATTCGTGAATGTATCCATTCAGATTTGTTGGGAAGGTTTCCTTGGTGACCCACACCAACCACTGCCTTTGTTTGCACCTTTTTCCACTAGGTGGCACTACAGCCGTAGGATGACCTCCTACAACATCTTTCCTTGCTTTCGCTTCACTAATCAGCTCTGTGTTGCAGTTACCAGCTGCACAGTGCACGGTAAATATGATAAATAATGACAAATGAGACTTATTGTGTGTGTGAAAAAAACCTTGAACCAGTGCACCACATGGAACAAATATTGCAGGAAATCTTTTGTGTGTTCACACTCAGGACCAACAGCAGACACAATGAGCACTGCAGAACACATCACACACAAGTGGAAATAATTCACTCAGCCTTCAGAGTTGTTGAATTCAGGTGTTCAATCATTCCATGTCCACATAGTGTATAAAATCAAGCACCCAGGCATTTGCACTGTTCTACAGACATTTGTGAAAGAAGCCTGGAGAACTCCAGTGTGGTACTATGATAGGATTCCACCGGTGCAACAAGTGCAGTCATGAAATACGGGTACGTAAAATCACAGAGCGGACCTTGAGGCTCATAGCGCGCATATGTCACATAACTTTTGCACAGTCACTGAAAACCAGTGCGCAGAGAGTTCACTGAAGACTTCATGACTTTCATGCGTATTTTATCATCTAAGACTTAAACAAGAAAAGCGCACAGTTTCGGCTTGGACTAATCTCTACACTCAGAATGAAACTGATAGTTGTGAGGATGTTCCATGACACACTGAAGAGGAGGGGGAAATAAATGTGTTGTAAAAAGCAAATACCTATGAAATCGATGACTCGTTAGCTATTTAAGTGAAATTTGTGATATGTCATGTCACTTTTATCAATGGAGGAGGCCCTATTTTATTTGCTGTTTTGACGCACGCACTCACTCGGTGAGATGGTAGCCTGACTGAGCGGAACACCTACTGATTCAAGAGCCATGTGTTTTGAATTTTGGCGGGCCAATGGCAGAGCGTACAGTCATATTTATATTTTCTTTGATGGCGTTTTTTGTTCCAAAAGTAAGACAAATAATTTGTTTTCTGTATCAGTTTGATTTGGTTGTAAAATGATTCGTTACCTTCAGTTTAAGAAGCGTGTGACATGGAGTGCTGAGTTTCACTGTAATTTCAGTCCTGTCAATGTTTTAATCGCTCTGTGTCGGACACGGCTTAAGCCCCGCACCAGTAACAGTCCTGCCATTTTCTCCCTGCAAATCTAACAGCAGACTGACAATAGCAGAAATCCTGAGCTAATGCATTCTGAACATGTCCCTCAAGTCATATGGCAGAAAATCTTAACAGAAAAGAAAGATGACTGCCAACAAGTTCTTTGGTCAACAAGCGAATCCAGACTTTACAAAGAAATTGGAGTTTAA